GAAAATTTAGGATAAACATGTATGTAAAATCCACAATTGTAACTAAGAAATTGTGGAATAGGGATAGTTTTTCTAGTATTAAATTTCTATGATCCTAAGATTTGCCAGTTGTTATTTTAAATTGGATAAAACAACACACTTCAACATACTTTGGTAAGCATAATGGGACGTCATAAAAATAATCCCAAAAGAAGACTCAGCCAGACCTGCAAGGGTTTCATTTCAGACGAACTTGAGGGGCTATTTGACCCACCATCGGGGAAAACAGAAAGAGAACTTCAGTTATTTGCTTATTTAATGATTTTAAAAGACATAATTATTTCTATTAAATTATTGCGGTAGAGGAAGAACAGAAATATGAGACCTAGTGAAAATTAAGAAGGGGAAATAAAGGCAATGGTAACTCTTGAAAATTTCAAGAGCTAAGTAATGTTGAAAGCAAGGACCATGTTGCTTTTGTTTATTGCTGGGCACTGGGCAGGAGGGTCCATGGCCTGTGTTCCTGAGGTGGTTTTGGGTTCAATGGACCTGACTTTCACTAGATTCTGGGACTGCAAAGGGTTGATCTAGACAGATGAGTGACATTGCTGGTGTCTGTGCTTATTCTCAGTCAATGGTAAGTTCATCTAATAACTCAGGCTTCCACTTTGACTGTTGTAGAATGGATTTAGTCCCTTGCTAGAGTGCATAAAGCTGCCTAGAGAGACAACAGTCAAGAGGGTTCCACTGGAGACAGAATGTTGAGACTTGTTCTTTTATTCTCTTAAGTGAACATGAGGAAATAAAAACCCATTTTTCTAGCTATTTTATTGAATACACTTTACAAACTTCCAAATTCCTAAATAAGTACCAGTGAAAGGGAAATGCCTGATTACTTGTTCTCTCCATTCTCCAAAGAAATCAATTTCTTTCCTTTTCTGTATCGTTTGTCTTTGCCCTCCTCTTCTGAAGAGAATAAACACAACAGAATGCTAAGTCATGGGTTCACCTTCAAGACATTATGCATTTCCTTTTTGATTAGCATATATTAGTTACAGGGGGTTCATTGTGACATTTACACATGTACTTACAATATATCTTAATTAGATTCACCCCCTCCATTATTCTCCTTCATCCCTCTCCTCCCTTTCCAGAACAATTTTAACAGGCTGCATGTTCCATTTACATATATACACTTGTACCATGTGCACCATTTCCTTTTCTAGACTTCTTTCCAAACTGTGAAGCAGATAGCATAACAACTAGCTTTGAGAAAGATGTCCCCGTCCAACCACAATGGCTGGCCACTTAAGTTTTATTAACTAATTACTAATTTATTAATCAGTCATCACTGAGACAAGCCAGTTGTTAGAAGGTAAAGTGTCTTTTTTGCAGAGAACTTATTACTCCTTGGGTTACTAAATTGTTAGTAGCTCACCTGTCAGTATGTATAGATGAAAAACAAATGCTCTTTGGTTTGCCAATGCAGTGCAAAAACTCTCATCTCCTTCCAGTAAATGGAATAGTGTCCTTTTAGGCTTAATTTGTTCTTGCAATCCTTATCGAGCATAGTCATTTTCTGAGTTTGTGACAAACATAGATGAAAGATCAAGAGGCCACAGTTAGAGGAAGTATTCCTTTCCCTCTTTATAAATTTAGCCTGAATTACAGTTTTCTGGGGATCTTTTTTTTTTTCTTTACACACAGGGGGCTGTATTTGTCCCACGTTAGTTAACATTTATGATGAAAACAAGGATAAAATGTATTGTCTGGAAGTGAGCACATCAGTCCCTCCTACCAATTTGTCTGTTGTGCTTTGGTACAACCTCAATCAAAATGGAGTTAATCAAGAATGACCTCATAGGGTCACTAACTCCAAAATTAATTCTGCTTTTAATGATATATGTCTCTAATTTATACCTAAAAAGTGTGGACCACCTGTGTTGTTGACTGGTTGTGATCATCTGGAGACCTAAGGGATTTATATCAAGAGAAAACCCAGACATGCAGGATGCATGTTTCTTTAAAGTGACGCTATAAAAATTATTTTCTCAATTAAATCTACGTGATTCACTTTTTATTTTTAAAGCCACAAAACTTGTGGGTTTGAGATGATTGAATATATGTTTGTGATTTGTTTTCACTAGTCTCTTTCCTTATTACCCTTCTCCAGTGACACCATTCATGTAGCTAGCATAACCACAAATCTTAAAGCGCATTTCATAGACAGGGCCATATTTGGCACTGGGCTGTAGCTTGCAGTAATACAATTTTATAGAAAATAGCAGTATTAATTAGATATATTCTGGTGAGCTGGAGGTACATGTTTTGATTATTGTCTAAAGCCAAACAGGAAAATGTAAAAGCAATAATAAATATGTTCTCTCCTATTCCAGTATACTAGTTTAGGCAAAATTTTGGCTGGAAAAGCATAAGTGAGTAATTAGATAATTGCTGCCTTGATTGAGCTTAATAGGAAACATTTCAATTAGGCTAAACCTACACAGAAAGGAAGTGGGTTTTTTACAAAGGGAAACATTCCTTGTCATGCAACTGTCAGCTTGTGCCCACACTAAGAGATGGGATTAAGTGGATCTGTGCAAAGGAAACAAAAAAGAAATGATTGCTGTAATTAGACCTATACTTAAAACATTGTGTCTTCTGATAGAGTTTCTTGATGATTCTAGTGTTGATAACGTAGCCCCTATAAATGTCTTGCCTGTAACAAATTACTACTTTAAATCTATGGCAATACAAGTTCCTGGGGGAAAAAAGTCCTGATTTTCTCCTACTACAAAAACTAACATTCTAGAATTTCAGTCCTATTCTCCAAGCCACCTGCACACTAACAAATAATCAGAAAAGCCATTTGGGGCTAGTTTGCATGGTTAATAATTTCTCTTTAGCATACCTGGAGAATGTGTATCCAGTGCTGACTCAGGACCTGAGCCAGATGTGAAAAAGGCTCCTTTCTCAAAATAAGTGTCCAGGGGACAGTGCTATTCTTAATGTACTGAGGGTTGATGTGGTGGTATGACCCATCTGACCTGTCAAATTAGGGGTTTTATCTCTCTAAAGAGTACATAGCTCCACCCACAGCTTGTTGTGCTCTTGGGTTTAATCTAATTACCCGTGCCATTTCATGGCCCTCCAACACGTGGCAAGGGCCCAGCCCAAGGCCTCACACCTCTAGACAATAAATCATTAATGTTGTTTTGATATTGCTTGCCACTGGATAGACACCAAATTACTGTGTCACATTGTTAGGAACGTGTTACGGTGCCCATTGTCATTAGGATCTTGTGATGACAAACCTAAATCTCATTTAAGATACCCCAAGTAAGGCGTTGATGTTACTGAAGTAGTCTAAGAAGCAGTTGATTCCTTCTGTCTGTGCTGGGTGGGTATCCTGGAAGCAGCATGAAAGGCCAAAGTCAGATGAAGGCAAAACTGAAGAAACTGTTAACTTCACTGTCTCCATGGTGGTTAAAGGAAATAGACTTTAGAATCACATGAGTCTGGTTTTAAATTTAGGCTCTGTCACTAGCTCTGTGACCTTGGACAAGATCCTTGTTTCCTTGTCTGCAAAATGGGAATAATAATATTAATAATAATTAATTAGCAATATTACCCCCTCCCCGGGTTGCAGCCTGGAATTTATAAAAATACTTGCAAGACTTTTGCATCATTATACACTAAAAAAATTTGTGGCTCCTATTATTACTAGTGGACAGTCATTCTCTCAAGAGTGAACAGGGCTGAAGAAATGCATTCTGAAGTCAAAAGTAGCATCCATATGTAGTAGCATCTCCAGCCAGCAGAAAACCCATATATATATATATATATATATTTTTTTTTTTTTTTTCCTTTGGTGGTACTGGGGTTTGTACTCAGGGCCTCATGCTTGCTAGACACTTGAGCCACTCAGCCAGCCCTGTTTAGTGTTGGGTATTTTTGAGATAGGGTCTCAAAAACTATTTGCCCAGGCCAGCCTCAAACCACCATCCTCCTGAGTAGCTAGGATTATAGAAGTGAGACACCAGCAAGCCCATAAGTTTTAAATGTCGAGGGTCAGGGCCATTTCTTGTCTGCTTCAGTTTGGAGAATGTAGAGCCCAGTGTGCAGCAGGAGGCTCCAAAACCAAGATGAGCTGGTCCCCATTAACTCAGCTGGTCCTCCTAGTCTGCTGACTATTGTTCAGCAATCTGACAGGTGGACGGTCTCCCACCACGGTCCACAGCTTTGTTACAGAAAGCAGCAATCATGGGCTCAATACCCAGGTGAAGCAGTCAGGGGTGTGATGTTCTTTCAGTGCTAGTGACTAAAAATACTCCGCTTGACTATTTACATTATTAGAACGTTAACATAAAACAGGCTTCAGACATATGTAACTTTTTACAAGTCTATTTGAAGGGAAAACTGTAAGTTGGTCAATAGAATGATTTGCACTGATTTGTTTTCCAGTACAATGAAACAAGAACTCCAAGTCTACTGATCATAAAATTAAAGAGCATGGGACATGGCTGATTTTAGATTCTCAAAATTAGATAAATAATTTATAGTTTTTATAGTAGCCATGGTAATGAAATTTTCTTTGGGGGATAATTTATAAGCATTTCATTTCCATATACAGAATTATTTTTCTTCTCTCTCTTGCTCTCTTTAAAACCAGCGTGGCAGGTTGAACTAAAGAGAATTTTAGACTCTCATTTAGTCTGAAAAATCTTAATTCGTTTTTCTTCCTTTGGGGAAGTGGCCTAATCAATGAATATTTGGAAGAAGACCCACGGAGTAGCTCAATGAGGAGAGCTAGTGAGGAGTGCTGTTGGGGGCTGGGAGGGCTTGTGCAGCTTGACAGGGCTTGCTTCTTGGGAAGTTTCATGTCCATTGTCCCCTTATGATCAGTTTTCCGTTCCAGCTTGGAATCTCAAGTGGCAGATCCCACTCTTGTGGCAAGACTTAGGTGTTGAGTGTGTCCTAAAGGGCAGAAATGCTTGTCTTTTTCTATTATACTCTTTCAGATGTGGTTCTGCATTCAGTACAGTATCTTTCTCCAAAACCCCTTTTACTGAGAGTTCTGCTTTATGACAGCAACTTGACTTGCTGCCAGAGAAGCCAGAGAAGCTGGAAATGAAGGAGATTTAAGGTAAATATCAATGGTGATTTTTTTTTCTCATTTTCATTCTCTCTCTCTCTCTCCTCTTTTTTCTCCTCCCCTCCCCCTCTTCCTCGCCATCTTCCTCTCCCTCTCTGTCAGAACATTATATGTTCATATCCTAACTTGTCCCAATAGAGAGTCAATTACAAACACTTGGCCATAAATCCAATCCAAGAAAAATACTGAGAGAAGGAACTGCAGCACTAGATACTAAGGGTCTTTAGAATTGCTATAAATGTTCAGAACATGTCAGCTCTGAACCCAGGGCGATATTTTAGGATGCAGTGCTTCCCAGCATGGCCTCAAATGAATAAAAATGGACCAGGCATTTTTCTAAGGTTAGGCATTTTTTTCTGAAATCTTTTATTATTAAAAATTGTTGTAGTTAAGACTTCATAAATAGTACGATTAAACATTCGTTAACAAGATGTCCGCAGTCAAAATTAAATGGTAAAAGAATGGTTTGGTTAATTTCTTTCCTCACCCAAAATCTTCAACATCATCATACCACCACTATTATAAGCCATTTTCAACATTCACAATCCCTCACCCTCAATATTTAAAAAAGAAATACATTAAGGTAGGAGAATTGTCCCAAAGTATAATAATTACACTTATAAATTAAAAAGAATTTTAGAGGCAACCTCTCCTGGAGGAGCTTTTCCTCACCATCTACACCAGAATAGCTCAGAGGACTGTGTGTACTATAGAGAAGAAACAAAGCCTGCATTGCAGCAGCACAAACTTACTCCTTGGGGGAGAGCAAGTAGCAAGGCAAGCTTTTTTTTTTTTTTCTTTTTTTGCCTTTCATCCAGGTAAGAATTCAGATCTTATTTCTTTCTCTTGCATGTACATACAATATGTACATACAATATGATAATTTGAAAATAAAGCAGTAAAGACTCCTTGATGAATGGCAGTAACTGCTTTCAAAAATAATTTTTGTTTTCTATGAGACATTTATCTACAAAGCCTCTGGAAGACATTCTGGCAATCTGCTACAATTCTAGATTTTTGTCTTGTTATAACCAAACTATATGATATTTAGCAAGTAATTGAAATTCTTTAGGCCTTAGTTGCACATAAAGCAAGAGTGTTTAATTAAAGGTTTCGATGACCAATTCCAGCTTGTGCATTCCAGAATCTATGAACCAAGTTATGCATTAAACCTCAACTTTGGCAGCAAATCAGAACCAGCTAGGGAGCTTTTAAAAAAATCCAGACATTTGAGCCCCATCCTATAGAGATTCTAATTCAGTGGGTCTGGGTGGAGATTTTAAAAACCTTTAAAAAATAGATGTACAGTCAGAAGTGAGATCCACTGTAATGAATAGTTAACTCCTTGCCAGGCACCACTGTGTCCCTATAGATAGAGCATTCTGATCACAGTTCAGCCATACTGAAATAGTTCTTATGAAACATTCCCATTTGGACTTCCATATCCTGAATGATCCCCAAGTGAGGCTGGTCCTTTGAAGGCCCTGTACTTTCATGTTGTCAGATTATAAACATGCAAGCATCCAATGTATCAACTCATCAGTCAGATGGGTGATTGTTGAAGAAGCCTATGCTGGTTTATCCAATATGTGAAGTAGTCTTAAGGGTAGAGATTCAAAATTTATAAGAAGGACTAATTAGGGGATAAGGAAGTATCAGGCACTTTTACATTTAACCCTGGCAACAAGGTAGGCATCAATATTCCATTTTAGAGGTAAGGAAGATAAGTCCCAATGAGGTTTACCTCTCGTGTGCAAGGTTACACTGGTAATAGATGGTGGGGAAGGGACAGGTGACTAACTGCAGAGACCATGCTTTTTGTTCAAGTTCATGTTATCATGGGGAAGGGAAGAAAAGGCCATTCTGCATAGGTACGTGGCTATACTTGAGAACGCTCAACCCATATGAAATAACTATGGTAAGGACATGAAGAGACAGGCTCTCTTAGACCCAACTGGATGTAGCATAAACTGATACTATTTTGGGGGAGGGATCAACTTAGTAGAATATACCAGGAATCTTAATTATGTTCATATCCTTTGACCTGGTAAATCTACTTCTAGGACTCTTTCCTGAGGAAATAATCATCACTGGGAGTAAACAATGATAAACAAAAGTATTCTTTAGAGCATTATACATAGTAGGGAAAATATGGTAAAAACCTATTTAGTGAAGGTGAATAGTTCACACACTTAATTTAAGTACATCCATGTGATTAAATATGAAGTATCAAAAATAATGCCTACGAAGAGCTTTTAATGAGGTGAAGAAATATTAATGATATGTTGTGTGAAAGAGATATGAAACTATATGGTGTGATCTCAATTATGAAAATAAAGGATGTAAGCATTAAAAACACCAAAAAGTTAATAGTAGTTATATCCTCGGTAGTAGGATTATAAATAATGTTTATTTTCTTCATTCCTTTCATACATTTAAAAATTTTTACAAAGTGATAGAATATTATTTCATAGGTAGAAAAAACATTAAAGTATTCTTATTTTAAAATACTTATAGAATTGGGTTAGAGGAAGAAGATTGGACAGAAATAAATCGGGATAGTAAAATAGAGACCTGAATTCTAAATAAATGTAAGCAAGCCCCCCCAAATACCATTTACTTTGGTAGAAACCCTTCCTGGCTGTTTGGTCTTTCTTTACCCCATGTGTCAAATTAGGCACCTGTGTCAAAAGAATGTTAATATCCTCTTTATCTTTAAGAGTTAAAAAAGACTTACTCTTATCACAGCTTTGGTATAAATAATCCCTACTTTTTGGAAGAATAAAATCAGAAGTGCTGCACAGTAATTTCTCTAGTCTCACATTTTCCCTTTCTCTGAGATAGTAACCAGCCTGTAGCAGATTCTTACGATGTTTCAAGGGCATTAATAGTTTGGTAACATAGGTAAAGGTAAGTACAGAGAAGCACATAGACACATAAAGACAAAATATGGTAGATATTATATTTTAAGGGCTCTAATGTTTAATACAAATGAATCTGAATAAGTGATAAGCATAACTTTAAAAAGCATTTCTGGGATTGCAAGGAGCCAAGGGCAAAAACAAAGAACACCAAAGCATACAAAATAAGCAAAAAACAAAAGAACACCTCACCCTAAAAATAATCCTTCCTTTGAACCCCAGAGAACTGAAATTGGGAAGGTCAGCAGTAAATGATGAGATCAGGAGATTTAGACTAAGGCTTGCTGTAACATGAGATTGCTAACCTAAGAATCCTGGATTAACTAGGATACTCTGTAGGGGAGCTAATATGGTCTCACGTTGATGGTGAATTAGGCTCTTTGTAGAAGGACACACAAATCCTTTCTATAGGATAACAACATCACTATAGGCCTTTGGGATTCTTGCAGATTAAGTCCAATTAAATATAAGTTCATAAGAATCAGCTGAGCAGCCAAGTGGGGTAGAAGTGCAACAGGGTCAGGACACTAGTTACATAAAGGAGAACTGAGCAAATATGTGAGTGGACTTAGGATAATGGGAAAGAAATTTCTTCCTTTTAGAAAAGAAAGTTACTAATATGAAAAGGAAGAAGACAGAATGTACCTATGACATTGAATGAAATCGCAGGTTTTAATGCAAACTTATGGATAGATAAATAATAGGTAGATAAGTGTATATGTGTGTGTGTGTGTGTGTGTGTGTAAGTGTATATTTTGTTGCTTTGTCCATTGTTGCATTGAGACTACTTGAGTGATTTCATTAGTAGAGGCCTAATATCTAGGTCTTGGTTTCTAAATACCATTCTCCACGAAAGGAACAAGGGCTCCTTGAAGAAATGGCTGATTTCAGAGTTCAGGCAGGGACAGTATATGCATGTAATATCTTATATTCTATAGTATGACCATACTCAAGGAATGACGCAAACATGTGAAAAAGAGCTGTAAAACAATTTGGAGGCTCTTGTTGGCCAAATATGGACCAATTTCAGCATTAAAACAAATCATGGTATTTATGTGTTAAAGCACATTGAATAAAATGGGAATTTATGAGTTCATGAATAAATGAATAAGTGCGTGAAGATAAAAGATGGTTCTTTCTTGAGTATAATGCTATTAAATTTAGAAGAAATGATATAATTAAAAATTGTGACAACCATTAAGTAATAATTAATTCAGTTAAGAAATATCAAGTTGACCTCATGTGTTTGTTGCCCAGAGATAGCAAGGTAAGTTTTAGAATCTGAATCTAATCATAAGAAACATCATAGAAACCCAAATTATGATGCATTCTACAAACTTACAGGTCTATAATCTTTTAAAAATTATAAGATCAAGGAGGGCCTGAGGAACTATTTGAGACTAAAGGAGACTAACTAGGCATAAGAACTAAGTGCCTCGTGTAATTCTATCTTGGATTCCTGGTTATAGTATATAACTGGGACACTGAGAAACTCAGGGAGTCTGGTTGGAGGAATTCATTATACTATTATAGTTGAGCTATTGTAATTGTTCTTGTCCTCTAAGTTCGAATTTCAAAATAAACCTCTGTAAAAAGTCACATAATTTTTGAAAATCATCAATAAAGAGTGAGTCAGTGGAAATAAAAGTGCAAAAGAATTAAACCTACAAAGGTTTCAGATATTTGAGAAAGATAAAGAAGTTAAATACTGTTATAAAATTTTTAAAGAAATAAAAGGATGGAATTTTAAAAAGGCAGAATGTACTTTCAAAATCACAAGGCCAGTTAGGAAAAAAAACAAAACTAAACTAAATTACACTGTGAAATGACCAAAAGGTTGAGGTTAGAAACTCAATGCATAAGCCAAACAGAAAACCAATGAGTTGAAATGAATATTGGTGAACTAGAATATTGACCTAAAGATATTCCCAGAATCTTCTCAAAGAGACGAAGAAGATTAGAAATAAAATGGAGAAGAGACATGTGGAGTGCACTGCCAAGGCCTACTCTACATCTGATGGAATATTTACAGGTTATAATAAGGAGAACAGAGGAGTGCAATGTTTAAAA